ACACACACACACACACACACACACACACACACACACACACACACACACATACACACACACACACACACGTTTGCATATTTGTATCACTCAGAGTTAAAAAACGAATTATATTGTGAAGATTTTTCGATCTTGTGCATATGTAGGACTACCCCTGTAGACAGTCCTCCATAGCTTGCAGCTCTTGTATTTCGTGACAGAGGGGGCCACCGTGAAGGCAGAGGAGTTGTCTGACCTTGGGGATGACGGAGAGGGCCGGGCCTCTGGCACCACTGTGAGAAGGAGAGGAGAGACACACAGACCTCTTATTTCTTCTCATAATGCCAGTCAACATAAATACAACAGTAGGACAGTTTCAGACATTGAAAAGAGTGCGTGTCCTGAAAATGTTCCCTGTACAACTCACTCACCCATTGAAGTGTAGCTGAGCTAATTTGAAGAGTTGTCGACCCAATTCAATACTGTCTTCTCCGTACTGGGAGCCAATAGCTACAGCACTTCTCTCCAGATGGGAGGCTGCATTATTCCAGTCACCTACAGGAACAGCAAAAAAGAAAAAAGCCATAAGAGAACTAGGGGGGGGAGCCGCATTGTCTTCCTGCTGTTTGGTAGAGCGTTTGAGTAGTGGTATCTTGTTGACGAATGTAATAATCACCGAAGTGAGCCATCTCTAGCACTCCATTGAAGCATGTCAAAGCTAATAAAATCCCCAGAGTGCACTGGGTTTTTAGAGACAGCCCTTTCCAAGTGGCAACTTTCCAGGAAGTAACCGTTAACATGCTTAACCAATTGGTAGAGATGTCCGTTAATCGTAAAAGTGCGCCTTAACATACAGAATAGTAGGAGTGTATTAACCACACAGCTCATGCATTATCATTCTCACCCATTGTAGCATATGCTCTGGCTGTTGCATCTTCCAGCTCCCCCTGTACTGGGTGCGTCTCTGCAAGGGTCAGTCCAGGCTGACTCTGGGTCCTTCTTAACAGTCTCAGAGCCTCATCTGAGGGAGGGAGGAGCAGAAGTATAACACGGGGATGTTACAAAGACCTTCTGAACAAATGATAATGATACATTACTGAATCTGCATTCTGTATCAGCATTTGGATGTAGTTTTTCACAAGCACCTGGCTTCTCTCTTTCCATGAGGTCCACAGCCTTCTCCAGGTCGACCTTGATCTCCTGCAGCCTGCGGCTCACTTCAGATAAAGACACGCGATGAGCACAGGATGACTGCGAACATATAAATCCTTTTCCTCCGTGCTCGCTGCTCTTCTGAAAATCAAGATGGAGTTCATTAATAAGTAGTACAATTAATCATGCATGATTGTAAGAAAACATATCAACAAAACCACTAATGAACGCCTACTTTGAGAGATCCTTTGCACTTGCCACACAGGAGTCCAGGCTGAAGACTGCCTCCAACACCCGACCCCTGCTGTCTGCCCTCTGGACCCTCCTCCTCCTCCTCCTGCTGCTGCCGAGTGCAGGCCTCACACCGACACAGGAAATAGTACTGTTCCTGCAGGTGACGCTGCCGTTCTCGGGTTGCCATCCGACTGCTGTGTGGACCTGAGGGAGGGAGGATAACGCCACAAGTAATAACTCACAGAAGAAAAGTAACAGAACAACACCGCTGGAAGCAATGACAGTAATTTCAGTGGAGAGTGATGTCTGGAAGTGCTGCATCAGGGCTGGGTGACAAACAAAATGAAACAGACCATATTTTAACCCAATCCCGGAATCCATCGGCTATCGGTCTGTCTGATAAGCCTCTGGGGGCAAGGGGCTATATTTCTGGGATCACAGTGTAGCCAGCAGGTGTCCGGGCAAAGACTTATTTTCTGTGCACTGCTCGTTGTTTACACTTCATTTGGCAAATTGACATGAGAGACTGGAGTTGGACTTGAGTGTCAACTTGTACGACCAGATTGTTTCACAGGTAGCAAATTTACAAGCTAATTTCACACCAAAAAAATGCAAATTCATCGTCAGACGATAGCCGGTGGGTTCGGAAATTACATTTCGGCCCGTTAACCTGCATTCAGCCAAAGCCCGCTGGAACGTGATTGGCCAATATGACAAGGACTACAAACAGAAACCAGAAATATGTCAGCACCTTAACAATCCTTTCACACTCATAGGAGTTTCTTACCATAGCAGTGCAGGATCTCTTGTCCAGGAGCGATAGCTTTGGATGCTCTGACAGTCACAGTGACTCCGCGGGCTGTGCTTCTGTACTCAGTCACACTCTCACTGAAGTCTGCAGACAGACCGGTTCCAGTGCTGAACAACAGACTGGTGTTGGGACAGCAGGAGTGATTCAGAAGACTGAGAGTTGGGAATATGGCTGTGGCAATGCGGATTTCCCTGCTGGACTGCACTGGTGAGTTTGCTGCTCCTGTAAGATGGAAGAACCAGAAACTAAAAGGTCATTGTGCAACTCAAGAACATTCAAAGCTGAAGATTCAATCATTGGAAAAGCTTGAATTCTTCAATAGACCTTTTCATTGTGCTGCTAGGGCAACAGCTTTGGTCAAATAAATGGTTAATTTACATTTTTAAGCAAAATTCCCCAAATTTACTTGTTCTTGCATCTCAAATGTTTGAATTTTTCTAAGTCTTCTGTGATCAAAGTCAGATTGGTGCATCACTAGAACAAACGGCTTCCATGTTTCTGACTTTGTGACGTACTGTAGTTATGATTTCTTTCATTGTGACAAAACTCAATGTGAAGCAAGCCAACAACACTTGTGAAACCAGTAACCTGTATCTTGCTGCATGAGGATTGCCTGGGCGTTACACCTCAGCTGCAGGATGTGCCTCAGAACTGCACTGCCCAGCGGCCACAGGTTCGAGCTCCAATCTGCGATACCTCCCTCCTTGTCTGGTGATTGTCTGTCTGCCCCTGAGGGTCCACTAAGGTCCCAAGAGGCAGGCGGGGGTCCTGCTTTGCTTAGCTTTAGGAAGAGTGTCGCTACAGTAATCGCACACAGGAAACGCACTTCAGGGCTATGACGATTCAGGTGGTGCTGCAGGTGAAACACGCTCGGGTACGAGTCCCCGTAGTATGAAGTACACGGATCACTGGACTCTGTGTGCTCGTCTCTGATTGGATCCCTGGCCATTTGGATGTTTTTTAACCCCGCCTTTAGAGTTACCCTCAGAGCGAGCTGTGACATCACACCCATCGTCTTCAGATCTGCTCCCAGCGGACACTCCCAGCGGTGGTGTTCCTCCCAGGCGTCTCGCTGACAGGAAGTTGAACAGTACCGGCTGTAGCTACACCCCTCACAGGGCACGGGACACGGTGTTTCCGTCAAACACCTGTGACAGCGCCTGTGCTCCACTCCAAACAACACTCCTCTGTCTGCGTGCTGTCTTCCTCCCTTCCCTTTCACTTCCTCCATCCCTGGTATGAGGACGCAGCTGTACGGCCTGTCATGAAGGATCACCTCCCCAGCTGCTATTCTCTCTGCAGCCACAAGGTGTCGACCTTTCTCCGAGCTGAAGCCAACAGCAGCTTGAGGACAAATCCCAAATGTGAGAAGTCCAACAGATGCCCCTTTTACTCTGTCTGGAGTTTTGTGATTCTCTGAGGCAGGATTGTGATGATCCTCTTTTGCCTTTTGACCTACAGAGAGGTGCTTGAGGCATTGTGTGCGACGGTCCTCTAGTTTGTGTAAAAGACGAGAGGGGTAGCTATTCTTTATAGCTTTGTCAATGTCATCAAGGGACTCCTGAGAGAAAAACAGAAACACCGGAGTGTGAGTCACTACAAAATCTAAGATTGTGAGTAAAACAAACTGACTGACAATTTAATAACTTATTTAAATCAGCATTTTAGCTTTGAGACAGATAAAAACCTAAACCAGAGATGAAGACCTGACAAGATTGAGAAAGTGATGATGAAGCAATTTCTGTGAGACACTCAGTAGTCATTGTTACTAACCACGTAATGGCAGGAGCTTCATTACTGTTGTATTTAAACTTCAAAAGGCCACTGAATAGATTATTATCCGGACACATTCCAGATACTTTGATGTGCTGTTGATACTACATGTGTGGGCCTAAATGACTCTATGGATGAAAACTGAAATGTGTCCAACTTGCTTTTTTTAGAGACGAAGAAATGAATTGGTTGAAACAAAGTTGAGTCAACTAGCCCATAAGAAGGCCAAAAGGCATAATTTAAATGAGGTATCATAGAAGATGAGCCCCTGGTTTCAGAAGAACCTGGACATCTACAATAATATCTTAATGATATTTCATGGGTTCCTGGAGAAAGTTGATGCAGTGAAAACCGGCTAAATTATAGTGAAACATACTGTACGTCCTGTGGGTGAAGAGCTGCTTCCTGACCGCAAAACTAAATGTCTGTCCTCCAATCATACATCACCAGGATGGCCTACTGAAGAATGCACTTTAATGTCAATGATACATGTGAAAAGGTCAAGTTAAAAACAGTTTTCCCATAAATCCTGAGACATTATTATTAAATCACCTATTTATGTGCTCCTGCAAACCATCTGCTATTTCACTTCACAGCATGTTAAGGGTGTGAGGATACCGTTTACATAGAATTAAAACATGATGATTTTCCCCTGCAGGATTCCTGCAATCAAGTGCTGTTGAATTTGATTACACAACGGTGACACAATCCGTTAGATGTCTCCACGCCCGTTTTCAGTCAACAAATAAGAAGCCGCTTTTAATGACACCCCAAGTACAACACTGTCTCATTATGCAACGGGTGAAGATGTTACCATTTTACCTGGTAGCGCTGCAGATGGTAGAGCGCAGCAGAGCGGTTGGCAAAGCACAGAGACAGCTGCTCTGAACCTTGATGAGCAAAACATAAGCCCTGTCATGAGAGGAGACAGAGAAGCTGGTTGTTAGTGCATATTACATAGTGCAAATTATAAACAATTTATACATACAGTACATCTGATTTTCAAACAGTTTACAGCAGGCATGTCCAAAGTCCGGCCCGCGGGCCAATCACGGCCCGAGGTCAGATTTTATATGGCCCGCACCTTCTGTCTTAAAATGCGTTATTTATGGCCCGCCAGCACAGTCTAAACGGAATGAATAAATCATACAAATTCAACATGCAATTCCTCTTTTTACCTCATGGTGGCAGCACCACTCTGTAACTGTCTGGCTGTTTGAAATTGGCTCTGACCCTTGACCTGTCATGTTAAGGCAAGTAAAAAAAGGAAAGTCGATAACGAGGGCCCCCGCTTCCAGGTTTGGTGGAGATCGCAATATTTTTTTCACCGAAAACCGAAACAACTGTGTCTGCCTAATTAGTCATGAGACTGTTGCCTTGTTTAAGGAATATAATGTAAAAAGACACCACGAGACCAAACATGCTAATGCTACAACAAGCTATCAGAGCGACCGAGCTAGAAAAGTGAAGCAACTCCAAGATAACTTGGCCTCACAGCAGCGGTCCTTTTCACATGAAAACATCATCACAGTAAGCTACCAAGTGGCCATGCTAACTGCTAAACATGACAAACCTTTTACGGAAGGTGAGTTTATCAAAGACTGTGTTATGAAAATAGCAGAAAACATAATTGCATCGAGAAGAAGACCGAGTTTGCTAATGTTTGCCTGGCTCGTAACACTGAAGAGCTATCATCACATACTAAGAGACAACTTGATTTGTTTCGTTAGCCTGTTTCATGTGTGTTGAACTTAAATGTGAGACAACTTTTCATTACCCTCACTAAGTCATATTTAAGATTGTCTTGAGGTGAGAATATTTATCAGTTTCTATGTAATTAGCTTTTAGATGGCTTGTTCTTTGTGTTATCTGACTTTCAAGATGTGAAAGAAAGGCAGAATAGTTGTTGAGATGTGTTCACACATGAATGCTTACATTTGGTTACATTGCTATTCGCTGTCATTGAAAATAAAATGATTAAATAACAATGTATGTATAGGCT